TTCTATTTTTATTCATAGTTTATAGCGTCTTATACTATAGTGTATAGTACTGCATTATATGAGTATAAAGTAGAACAGATTATATACAATTTAGGTACATTATAATATCATATTACAAGAAGAATGATCTGACATAGGTAATAATAAATATGTTCAAATTTTTAATTTTTGTAAGCTGCACTAGTCGGATACAGAACAAGAAAGGTTTTGTTTATGGGTGTCAAGAATAAATTCTGCGCAACATTTGCTAGAACAAAAACCGAAGATAAAGCTAAAAACCACCAATGTTTTAAAAACTGGAAGTCTTCTGATGGGTCATCAGCTATGGAAGCTGTGGTAATTGTTTAGAGGTTCAAAGATAGTGAACGCATCTATGGAATAAGGTACCATAAATAAATTAGCGATGGAGACATCAGCGTTTATAAGCAAATGTTGGACGCACGTCCCTACACAAATCTAACAGTCGAAAAAATTGAGTGTAAAAATCATTTGCTACGGAATTTTTGTAAGAAATTAAAAGAAATTACTACCAAAAAAGAAACTGGTAAATTGGACCATCGAAAGTTGCTAGGTACAAAAATATATTTCAAGGTTAAGGAGAGGAATCGTTTCGGCAATCAAGTATCGAAGACAAAATAAAAATATAGAAAATGATTTACGAAATTACATTTTAAATATTATCGATCATGCTCTTGATTAACAAGATAAATGTGCATCTTATTTCTACGATAAAGTTGAAGATGTTTATTATCTTGAAAAAATTAAATCAACTGAATAAAATTTTATTTTATTCAAATATAATGCAAACTGTGCTGTATTTACCAAGAAATAGCCGTAGTTTGTTGCAAAACGTGGATAACATCGTCGTCGAATCATTAAATAGTATTATAGCAAAATTAATTGGTGGCAACAAGATTAATTTTGCAATGTCGTGGTCATTCCAAGGGTGTGTGGCTGTTACAACAGTAATGAAGAATACAAAACGACCAATGTATGAATGACATAAAACTCTATTGCAGCCTGCAATTTGCCAGCATAGTACTGGGAAAAAATGGACAACATCGAAGTTGAAACTACAACGACACAGAAAATAAATGCGTCAAAACGTACAGAACTAAATTGAAGTTCCAAAGCGTCTTACGTTGATCCGTCGGACGGTGTCCGAGCAATTTGATGATGAAAAAAAATAATGTTTTTCATTTGTTAAAAGAAATGGCAGCTAACCGCGATGTCATTGAAAAAGGAACAGCGGAACAATCAGCATCAAGCAAATGGTTGGAATATAGAAGGCACCTTATTACGGCTTCAAATTTTGGACGCATAATTTGTTTACGAACTGATACAGGATGTGAAAATGTTGTAAAAAATATGTTGTACTCATCAAATGTCGATTGGAAAGCAATGGAATACGGGCGGAAACATGAACAAGAGGCAAAGTTACAATTGGAAACAGTTTTGGGTGTAAGTATTAGTGAATRTGGTTTATTTATAGACACCAAAAATCATTTCTTAGGAGCAACACCTGATGGACTAATAGGTATTGGTTGAAATTAAATGTCCTATATCTGCTGCAAATATAACGCCTGAGGAAGGGATACGCCAAAGAAAAATTAATCTATGGAAAATAAATAAAGATAAAGATATTATAAGAATAAATACTCATCATAAATACTATTACCAAATCCAATTGGACAAAAAAGGTATTAAATACGAAACTATTGAAAAAGATGATCAATTTTGGGAAAATAATATGTTTCCGAAAATAATATACCTATTATATTATTGATTATATATTTTAGAACGATTTTTTCCTTGACTTTTCGCTTGAAAAATCATTTATAAAGATGCCATAATTGATAGTTTCAGCTATATATTTTTCAATAGATATTCTTGAAAGTCCAGTTAGTCTTGTTTGTGACATAGTGCTGCTTAGATAGTTCTTAATTAATTCAATTTCGAAAATGATCTTTCATCTTTTTTTACACCCCGATTCATATGATCTAAATCTATCACGATCTAGATCAGGGGTCACCAACTAATTTCTATGGGGGTCCGTTTTGAAACTTACCAAACTTTACGCGGTCCAWACAGTTTCAATGACATAATTTATAAATTTGTGATTATATTTATTTATCTATTCACATTGTATTTTACACAAATTAATAAATAGGTATATACATTTTAAAATTTGTATTTATATTTATTTATTTATTTAAATTGAATTTACAAAAAAAAAGATTATGTTTGAAA